ACTAGGAGCAAGGACGCTACTAGTAGCTCCTGGCCTTACTACTAGGAGCAGAGGACGCTACTAGGGGCTCGCATCGTGCATGGCGCCTCCATGGTGCACCAGGGATGTGTCCCAAGTAAAGAACATCGGCTCCAAGCTTCAAAGCCTCCGGCAGCTTGGAGCGCAGCCGCCTAGACAACGAAAACGCAAAACGAAACAAAGAAAGCTTCTAATAGACATGGCCTCCAACCATTTAAAAATAAATAGGCCTCCAACCTACTAGCGATGGCCTCCAACCTTTGACAAGTCTAGATGCAGTCTACATGCATGGAGTCTACATCTGGTGTTCTCGTCAAAATTCCTGGCAACTTCAGCATACTTCAGTTTCTGGCTCCGCAACTGATTGAGGTGTTTTCCCGAGCCTAGAAAAACTTCCTGTTGGCACCGCATCGTCCTGCATGAATTCAAGCTGGACAGGACCTTGTGAGGAACTTGGTCAAACTGGAAGAATCCCCACCTCCATCACAAGCATTGGCCTATCAGCATGTCTTCTCTGGACAACACGCACAAAACAAGCTCACCTCAAAGCCTGTACCCAAGCGCCCAAGTATCATTTTTGCATTTCGCCCTATTCCGGAAGCAATGAGAGAGCACCAACATGTTCTGCAGGGTTTCATATCTGGCCTTCTGGCAGCAGCAATCTCACGCCAACAGCGAACATGAGACATTGCGCATCCTTCGGACATTGCGCATCTTCGCGACGACGTCTGCAAATCTTCACGACGACGTCGTTTCCTGCCTCGCTCGCCCGGTGTCATCTGCAGCTCCACCCCAGCACGATATCCTTCTTTGAGAAGCACTAGGAACAAGTGCATCGCTTCTAGTAACAAGTGCCTTACTAGTAGTAAGAAGAAGCTACTAGAAACAAGTGCCTTACTAGTAGTAACAATGTTCGCTACTAGGAACAAGCACAAATAGGTTGGACAAGTGCAAGAATTTGGAGGTCATCGCTGATGCAACGAGGGGTGCGCAGAGCGCGCAAAGGTGATTGAATCATGCCGCCTTGGTCCTTCAGAGACATGTGGATGCAGATCAACCTGGGATCCCTATTGACCACACGCACGCAAACTACGTTCAGGTAATGAGAGGTGCAAAGTGTGAAGTTGGTCGGAGTATCAACTTGATTGGCTGCAATTGGCATGAATAGCAATGGCCTCCAACCTAATAGTGATAGCATCCACAAAGAACCTGCCAAATTTGTCGAGGTTGTCTTTTTGCACGTTGCAATCGGTTCAAACAGGACACGTGGACTTCCCGTGCGTGTTTGCAGAGCAAATGGACAGATTTCTTGGTCAATGAATCAATGAAGATACATGTTCTTCTTTTTGGCGGCTACTGATTGTTGCTTCAAGAGCAAGCCACGAGATGCCTCACCGCAACGAAAAGCGCAGAAAAAAGAAGCGAAGGGAACATTGTGCGAGCTGTTGTGGTGTGCTTTAAGCTTTTTACAAATGCAGAGATCCGCAATTTGGGTATATGGTACCAATGCGTCCGTTAATTGTCATTACACTGATAGGATCTACCAGCACAATCTATTCAATCCTTACATGGACTCTGCTTGGTGTCAGAGATTCTCCTGGTCGGCCGTCAAACCGCGCATTACGTGTGGTGTTCCAGGACTGTCCAACCTTGGAAGCTCCAAGTCTGGCTGCTCACCATGGCCATGCTGAGGCCACCACATCAACCAAAGGAACCTGGTCCAGCGCTATTAGGAACAAGAAGCGACTACTAGCTCCTGGCATTACTACTAGGAACAAGGATGCCACTAGGAATAAAGGGCATCACTACTAGTAACAAGGAACCTGGTCCTAAAGTACAGCGAAAGCACAGCAAAAGCCACGGCTGCGCCGTAACCCACACAGCGGCCTCATCGGCTGCTCCATCAGTGGCTGGAATGCGCCGGACACGCAGCAAGGGCACCGAAGGAGGGACCTGAAAGGATTGAAGATTGAGAAAATGCAGGAGCAAGGACGCTACTAGGGGCTCCTGGCATCGCTACGAGGAACAAGAACGCTACTAGGGGCTCCTGGCATCGCTACTAGGAACA